TGGTCCCTTATTTAGGTTTTCTAGATTCCTGCCATGAGTTAGACCATCTGGTATTTTTCTTTTTCTTTCTGGCTTATTTCTCTGAGCATGATCCCTTCCAGTGCCATCCATGTTGCTGCAAATTGCATGTGTTTATCTTTTTTGAATGCTGAGTAATATTCCATGGTGTATATGTACCACATCTTCTTGATCCAGTCATCTACTTTTGGGCATTTGGGTTGTTTCCAGATCTTAGTTATTGTAAATAGTGCTGCTATAAACATAGGGGTGCAGGTGCTCTTTGGAATTGATGTTTCTGTGTCCTTTGGGTAAATACCTAGGAGTGGAATTGCTGTATCATATGGGAGCTCTATCTTTAGTAGGTTGAAGAATCTCCAAACAGCTTTCCATAGTGGTTGGACCAGTTTGCTAAGATGTGCCTTTGAACCACTAGAATTCAAGTGAAAATGGAGGGACCTGACCTTAGGAAGCACAGGAGACAAAGGACCTGAGCAGGTGTTCAGGCAAGTTACTTTCCCTTGGCTGGTCACAGTGCTAGCTAGCACCTTTTGAGCACCTACTGCATATAGTTGGTAATGCATGCCAAGCTATACTGTCTTTTCTATTCACTAATTTTTTAACTTTGTCAAACCCTCACTTCAGAACTATAGAATTTGAAACAAAATTATTTTGTCTCTTTTCCCACCTGGTAAATGAAACAATAAAACTTTGTTCCAATTGACTTGGGTTCAGAATCAGAACCTATTTTGCCTGCATTATACCTCCAGTTTGATTACTTTTTAAAAAAGATTTATTCATTTATTTCTGCATAGAAGAACTGGGATGTAGGCCAGAGGTACAGGGGGTGAGATAATTCACCAGAGACAGAGTGGGAGCAGAAGAGGATTTACCAAAACACACTGCTAAGGGGAACAGCAGGTGAGACAGGAGAGGTCTGCTGCTAACCATATGTGGGTTAGCTCCCTGACTGAAGATTGAATTTAAGGATAGGCGATAGTGCTGAGATTTAACCTCTATACTACCTGGGAGGCCCAGTTGGATTACTTCTTAATCCTAATATTAGGTTAACACCATTTAAACTCTGTATGACATTCTATAGCAAAGAAACAAAACACTGCAATTCAAATAAAAGAAGAACTTCTCCGTTAGCAGTACAGTGTGGAGAGCAAGCAACATTTCATGAAATCGTAAAGGGATTCTGGCTAGTGGAAAGACTCTGCAATTCTCACATGGGATGCTAATCACAGTATCTAAAGCAGTCTCTACATTTCTCACCATTTTTTTTTTTTTTTTTTTTTCCAGTCAGAGACAAGGTGACAAAAGAAATCCAGGGAGTGCCTTCACTGCTAGGGAAATATCTAGGGTATTATAAAAGTCATTTCCTATCATATTCAACCTGCTTGAGTATAATCATATGATTTCATGCTGAAAGTCATACTGAAAAATCTTGTATCCAGCTGCTTAGCTATATACACCCAGTTTAAATTCAGGAAGCCCAGTGATTAAGAATGAAGAATGGAAAAGTTGTATGTCAGCTATGTAACTCTGTTTTTGACTCCAACTGTCAATCTGATTTTTTGCTTGCTTTTTTATTTTTATGCTTTTACTTTTCCTTTGCAAATTCTAGAGCATATAAATAAGACTAGACATTGGATTAACTGTATGAGGTAACTTTTTTTCATAGACGCTGTGCTTAAAAGCTAAAGGACAAACACAAGGTTATTGGAATTAGTCAGAAATAAAGTTTTCATGTCCAGGCCTATGGATTGGATTAAGAAAGGAGTAGAAAGTTGTGAGATTGCTTATTGCATATTCATCTGCAATCAAAATTGCCTGCTAATATAATCAATCCTTTGTTAATTAGTTGAGTCTCTACTAGTTGAAATGTAAGTGGCTCAGAACAGAGTGATCTTCTCACTAGAGTGTTGAATTTTATGAAGTTGGAACTACCAGAGCTACTTTGTTAACTCATATTTATATTTTCCATTTTTTTAGACTTTAGGAATTCGGACTGAGGTTTTCAAACATCTGAAATATATTGATAGAACTGAGTTGTTGGCAAATTTATATACCCTGGCTCTATCTCCCTTGTGCTTTACTTCTCTGTTCTCCTTGCTGCCTTGTAGGTAGTTGTATGTTCAGAAACGAGAAAACTAAATGACCAGAGTGACTCAAGCGAGGTCATCTTGGCAAATAAGACTTTCCATTTTGTGGAATATTATTTTATATTCTTAAAATGAAAAAAAGCATAAGATGAGAACATTATTTTAATAAGCTATCCCAATGTAGGTGAGTGTACTGATGTATGTGCTGATATAAATTTTTTTTGTGTGAGACTCATTTTTCATATTCATTTATGATAATTATTTTCTTATTTTTTAAGATTTTTTTTATTTATGCAAGAGCGGGGTGCAGGTCAGATGTGCAGGAGGGTGAGAGGATTCACCAGAGACAGAGTGGGGAACAGAACAGGCAGATTGATGAAATACACTGCTGAGGGGAGCAGCAGGTGAGGCAGGAGAGGTCTGCTTGCCCTGTGGGTTGCTCTGAGGCCAGCAAGGATCGAACCGGCACTGCAGAGGCTGCGGACAGCTTCACAGCACTGCGCTCAACTGCCTGCTCCACCAGAGAGGCCCTATGATAATTATTTTCCATCTCCAAATGTGTATTATTGTAGGTATAAAAGGGTTGGAGAAAGCTATCTTGAAATCTGTGAGTCTACCATTCAAACATTTAGTAATAGAAATTGTGCTAGAAAAATTATTTTGATTTGCCTGAAGATTATACATCTTTTTCTATTTCTTAAGATTTCTTCTTTCTTTTTCATTTTTTCTATTTCTTAAGATCTGAACTTTAATATTAACTTCCAGAAATTTAAGTTTGTAAAAATAAATTCAATAAACTTTTAAGGAAAAATATCAATTGGCTGATTCGGAACTTTTAATATATCAGTAGAAATTCCCAATATTTTTATATAAAGTTCAATATTGTCTCTTGCTAGTAAGCCTGAAATAACTCGTGGATTCTAATACATACTTAGTTGATAGATAAGTATGTGTTTGGCAGGATACATAGGAAATGTTTCTGAATTAAAAGAAGAATTGAGCTCATGTGAAGACTATGAATCCAAATAATTATTTAAAGGAAACTGAAAGAAACATTTATTTCTGGATGTTTTATTTATTTGAGAATGTCTTGTAGGATAATTAAGCATTCTCTATCAGGTATTGCTATAGTTGCCAGGGCCTAGTGCCATAATAGCAGGAGCAACTTAAATTTGTTATATGAAAAATTTGGATTTTTCTATGTCATATATTTTCTCAAAATATCTCCTGCTTATCACATAGTTATATAGTAACTACAAGACTTAATAATGCATATCAGTTTTATTCCTTAGCTTTAAGATCATAATGCTCCAATTTGAACATTGGAGCTCAGTCGAGTTACAAAGAATCGATTGAAAATAAGTGGTCCATATCCCAGTTTCTCATAACTGAAAATGAATTTCAGTTCAGTACCTTTATTTCTACCACAGGGAAAATACAGATATTCAGTATCTCTCTCATGTGAGAAAAATGTTCTAATTTTTGAATCCCAAGGGTTTTATGGAAAATTTGTCCCTTTAAGTCATAATTTGACCCAATTAAAATATGAAAATGATTAATTCACTTACCATTTAAAGGGTTTAAAACTGGGTTGTCATCACAGTCACGCTTTTATAAGATATGCACCAATTCTATATAGCTTGATAAATCAAGTATAAAATTCATGAAACCAAATTTCAAATAATTTGTTTTTATTTCCTGTTCAGTACCATGCATTGTTGTTGAGATCTAAATCTAAGGATTTCTCTTTCCAAGATATTTCCTGTATGAACAGAGAATTAAGATTTTTGTATTAGAGATTTCCTTTTACTTAAATTGAATGAGTAAAAATACCTTACTTTTTATGAACAAAATCATTGGATTATGATAAGCTAATATACTTTGAAATCACTATTTGTAATTTGATTCAAAACTCAATTTTATTCCAACAATTTCTTTTTGAAACATCTCTAAAATTGAATGACCATGCAAAACTTTAAGCAAAATGTCTTTCTTAATGAGTAGTGTAAAATTGACTGCTCAAATAGTTGCTAGATAAATCTTATTGGGGAGTATGAGAAAAATATAAATATGTATATGGTTTCATTGATAAAATATCCCAGAAAGATAAACTTTCTATATGAATTTATTTTACTATAGGACCTTGTTACATGCAGAGATTTCCTTGCATTCAATAAGGAGTCAATTACAAGAGATTTTGATGACTGTGATACTTCAAGGAAGTTAAATGAACCAAAAGAAGTCAAATCACAGTGATAAATTATTATCTATTTGCTTCAAAAAAGATTAGGAGAGGACAATTTTCTGCCCCAGAGCACTGTGGCACATATACAAATCCACTTTTCTGTGTAATGGCAAGCATGTCAAGCCATACAACAGAGGCGTAAAACGCAAATAGCAATTCATGCACTAATCGATCGATCAAGCAGAAAGTATTTTGGAACCACAAAACAGTTTATTTTATTTCTAGTGTAAATAATGCTGCTTATTAGTATACCTTAAAAGTTCTTGTGAAGCATATTTCCTATGAGTGTACTTTTTCTTTAAAAATGTTTCATTGTAAAATCATTAATACCTAAATGGGTAACTTTAATTCCCAGAAAAATCTTAATTAGAATTATTACTAATTAGATAGCACCCATGTGAGATAACCTAAAAAGGTTAGGTTTCCACTTACAATTCATGAGCCTACTGGTTGATCACACACATTTCAAAAACTGTAATTCCAGAATTACTTTTGCAATTAATTGATGATGGTGACAGTGAATTTAGAATTCTTAGTTTTGTCTTATAAAGATCATGAAAACTAGAAATTGAAATATTTTTCTTCTCTAAAGTGTAAGGAAGGGAGCCTACTTGCCAGGAATATAATGGGTATCTAAAATGTAATGTGTTATATTTACCTGGCAGGGGAGATACCATGATCACGAAGATGGTTTTCTCAGGCAAGGCTTATCCACTGCACTCAGATGTGCTGACCTCTGAGGTTTCTCCAAATGTAGGAATCTCTACTGCATATTTTGTGGTAGTAGGGGATTGTGTTTACGCTTTCCATAAAATGTATGTAAATAAAACTAAAAGGTAATGTGAGAATCAGAATAATTTTATTTAAACATGTGTAATTTTAGAAAAGAGCTTTTAGCATGTTATAAATTTTAAAGACAGTTGTTCAATATTTTTAACTTTGAGAAATATAAATATTGATGCTTTGCTTTCTAACCAACATAATCTTTGTCATATTTGGCTTGTGTGTCTCCTTTATGAGTGTTTTCACATGTCTCAATAATTTATTGTATTAGGTATGTTGGTGTAGAAATGCTAGAGGTCAAAATTTACTAACCTATTCACTCTGATTTTCTTGTCAAAATGTTATCTGCTGTCTTCTGACTCTTTGCCTTTAGACTGGGTCTTGTGGACATTTTTCCTAAATCAATTATACAATTTTCCTTTCACTGAAACTATACTTGCTCTGTAATTCAAAACATACATTTTAATACTATATCATTAATATTATTTAACACCCTCAACTAATCAAACAATGAAATCTTTAATCCTTTATTTTTTGTCATTTTGCATGTATTGGATTTTTTACAACTTTGAAATAAAGAATGTTAGCAGTTTGAGCAAATCACACAGTAATTCAAAATAAAAAAGTATTCTAAGAAATTTATAACACTAGTTTTGATACACAGAATTTGGATGAATACATCTTTCCTAAATAAATTCAATCAATGAATTTATACTCTCAAACATTCAGAAACTGATTTACTTGGAGATCATTGTTCTAATGTATCTGTGTCCGGAAAATTGTTCAGCTATGGAAAAAGAGCCACCCTTTTATTCTCTACATGCCATTCACCTCACTACTATTTCCATCTGTGCCTTACAGTTTAGTAATCTCTCATGTCACTATCTCTCACAGATAGGCATTAAGACTTTTAGTCATGACAAGGACAGCAGACTAAGTTTTCCAAGATAATAATGGTCACATTAGCAATTAAATGATATTAGTAGTTTAGATGGAGAGCCTATGACAAAAAAATGAAATTAAGAAAAAAAATCCATTACTTGATTTTTGTTCACATATAGATTGTTGTCTGATTTTCCAATAATTTATTTGTAGCATGTGGGTTCAGTCCAATTACAAGGGGTATCTCTTGCCATTGAGCAAATGGATATAAGTGATTAAATTCAGAATTTTGAAAATATTTGAAATACTTCACAAGAAATATGACCACAGATTTTGTCTTAATGGCCATACCCATTGAAATGAAAACCAAAATTAAAGAATAAAGAGAAAGTTTGCTACAAATATTAGAAACTTCCCCCCCCCCATTTTGGCCACATTTCCAGGGAACATATCTATTTAAGCATTTTTTTATTGCAGTTGATGTGATATAACTCTCATCTAGAATATTTTTAATTTAAAAGCTATGAATATTACATCTATAGTAGAAATATATCTCTCAGAATCTGAGTTAGCCTGTGTGATTTATCCAAGGTCATCTTTCAGATCCTAAACAGAAATTTATAAATAATGCACATGTATCTGGAATAAATTCATACTTCTACTTTTGAAGACTTCTTCATCTTCTTAATTATTGTAGAATATGTGAAAAATCTGAAGGTATCAGAAGGGAAAATTTTTATGTTTGTTTTCATTTTGTCTTCCTTTAAAATTTAAAGCTATTGCAAAATATAAAAGAATCCTTCTTTTGAACACCTGCATTCTGTTCGTTGTAGCATTGTTTGTGATAGCCAAGTTATGGAAACAACCTAAGTGTCTGTCAATATATGAATTAATAAAGAAAATACACATAGTGGAATATTACTCAGAATTAAAAAAGAATGAATTGGTTCATGTGCAACAACATTGATTGACTGAGGGCATTATGCTAAGTGAAAGAAGACAGTTACAGCATGGCATCATTTACATGTGGATTCTAAAACAAACAAATAAATAGAAAATTTGCACTTACAGAAACAGAGAGTAAACGTGTGGTTGCAGGTTTGGGGGGGTGATAAAAATATAGAGAAGTAGGTAAAATCTTTAAATTATAAATAAGTTCTGAGGATTTAATTTATAACATATTAACTATAATTGTACTGAATAACTGAAATGTATTAATGTAGTAGATATTAAGAGTTTTCATTCCTGCAAATCAGCTATGTGAGGTGATAGGTGTGCTAATTAACTAGAGTGTTACAATCTTTTCTCACTGTACACGTATTACAAGTTACCTCATTTTATACTTCACATACATGAATATAAAGCTGGGGGAAGTAAACACCATTATTCATAGATTCAGTGAAAGCTACAAATTCTCTAACTTAACTTTATGTTAACAACTTATCCCAAATGTTCTTAATTTAGCTTTGTAAACAAATTATTTTACAAATCTCAGACATGTGGCCAATAACAATGTGATGGAACTTTCACTTTGATTTTAAAAAACTAAGTAAATATTTCAAAATTTATAAATATAAACAAAATATAACTTTTAATTTCACCCAAAATAGACATCTATTGCCACAGACGTTCATGTCAGTACGCATTAATTTCTTAAACTTTTTCCTCACAATAGTTTAAGTATGGAAAGAATGATGCCTAGTTGGGCATTTGAATTATTTATGAATTACTGAGTAAACACATTTTGGCACAAATACTTCTTATTATCTTAATTTGATTACAGCTCTCTTTAAATACAGTAATCAGAGCATCAAATGAGAAGCACTCATTCTTTCTTGGCTAAACTCTATACAGCTGGTAGAAAAACTCCCTTTATAACTTCAGAATTAGTAGTCTTAGTTTTAGGTATATTTTTCTCATCAAACAGTAAAAAAAAAAAAAAATGAATCCTAGATAATACACTGATTATTATTTGTATAGAAATGACACACACCTAATTTCTATTTCAGGCTCATTACTTGTGTGTCGCTTTAAGAAATGTATTTGATCACATCAACACTGAGTTTCCAAATTTTCGAAGGGCAATATTATTAATTGCCCTTGTTTAATAATTCAGTATAATGAAACAGTTTTACAAATGCCAAAATTTATGTACAAGTAATGCAGAAAATCTCCTGAATGGAAAGAGAAAAATAAGTGAATTGACTTTTATCATTTCCTAAGTCTCAATCAACAAATTTACCAAGAATAATAGAGTATAGAAACTGACTGACCTTAGGTACTGTAGGGTCAAGAATGGACACAGTGCAGGTTTTCTATGATCTCGCAGACCAGGTAAAGGAGTCAGAGTCCTCAGTGGGTTTTTTTGCAGGTCTTTTATTGTGATTACCAGGTACACGGCAGGCAGGGGTGCTGAGGGGCCGGGAGGCTGGCAGGACTCCCAGCCCCCAGCAAATCCTCACTCTATCTGGGCTCTCCGGCCTTCTCTGCTTCTCTCTCGGCTTCTGCTACTTCTTTCTTGGCTTCTCTCTCGGCTTCTCTTTTGGCTTCTGCTGCTACTGGCGCCCCCAACTAGGCATCATTCTTTCTATACTTTCCCGTGACGCCACCCTTAAAAGGCCAGTCTCTCAGCCCAGGTGTACCCACTTCAGGTGCCCGCCATCAGGCATGCATTCAGGGCCACAGGGTTCCCTCATCTATCCTAATGGCGGGAGGGCAGAAAAGCCTGATACCTTTTACCTTACCCTACAGGTACTTTTAGAGAACTATTCATTTGTACAATCATTTGCTATTTAGAATAAGGACCTGAATTAGAATAACTGAATTTTAAATGGGAAGGGGATGATATTATTGACTCAAGAAATACTAATGGGAATCTTGACAGTTTATGATGCAAGAGTCAAAGTGCACTAAACAGCATAGTTGTGCTATGACCAAAATGATATAGACACAAGGAAAAGAAAATTGAGAAATGAAAAGAATGGACTCTGTCAGACAAATGTCTATTTAGATGATGACAATGAAGGCAATAAAATGTGACTCTTAAAAGATTTCATTACGAAAACATTCCTATTGCTGGAAAAGAGCTCAGATCTCACTCAACATATGAATTTGGAAATCATGCACATAAAGATTATACTTGTTATAAAGAAAGTGGAATTACAAGGTAGGATCTATAAAAGAGAGAAAGAAATATGTACAAAGACAGTAAAAAAAATTAGAAACAAGTAAAAACAAACAAAAAAAAGAATGTATGGGTGATCTTAAAGAAGTAAAGCAACATTCAGAAGGAAAAAAAGAAAGAAACTTTAAAATGAAGGAATTAATTGAAAGTATAAAACGAAAAATTAGTGTAAAACGACTTAGCATTGAGTAGTGGCAGGAAGGTACAGAGCAGGTTCTCTATGATTCTATGCAGACGGGTAAAGGAGGAGTCCTGGAGCCCTCTGTGGCTTTTTCAGGCTTTTATTGGGTTTACCAGGCACACAGCAGTCAGGGCAGTCTTCCTCAGCCTCCAGCAAGTCTTCACTCTTTCTGAGCTCTCTGGCGTTCTCTCGTGGCCTTATTTTCTTTCTTCTCGTTTCTTCTGCTGTTCTGCTGTTCTGCTCTCTTGCTCTGCTGGCATCCCCGTGATGCCACCCTGTAGGGTAAGGAAAAATGTCAGGCTTTTCTGCCCTCCCGCCATCAGGAGAGATGATGGATCCTTGCGGTCCTGAATGCATGCCTGATGGCGGGCACCTGGAGTAGGGTGTGGGCATAGGTAGATGGGATTCACCTGGGCTGAGACTGTGCTTTCAAGGGTGGCGTCACAGGGACGCCAGTAGAAGCCAAAGAGAAGCAAAGAAGCAGAAGCAGAAGCAGAGAATGCCAGAGAGCCCAGATAGAGTGAAGACTTGCTGGGGGCTGGGAGGACTGCCAGCCTCCCGGCCCCCCAGCACTCCTGCCTGCCATGTACCTGGTAATCCCAACAAAAGCCTGCAAAAGCCACTGAGGGCTCTAGGACTCTCTCCTCCTTTACCCGGTCTGCATGGGATCAGAAAACCTGTACCGTGGCCATTCCTGCCCCTACAATTGGCGTAAGTTGGCAAGATGATCCATGCAGACAGGTATGGAGCCCTCCGAAGACCTGGAGGGACTAAGGAGTAAC